TCCATTTTGCAATCGGAGCACATTTCGCCAATTCCACCATGGTCCAGGCAAAGAATACCAAGTGCAGCACACGGTTCCTTACGCGGTCGTTCCTTTCGCTGCGGGCGACTCGACATGGACGTAGCCGTCGTGGAGCAAGCGCAGCGGATGGATGTGGTGGCGAACGAACCCGACGAACCAGACGGCACCCAGGACAAGTAAATGGCCGCAATCACGATCGACACCAAAAAATCGGTGCTGGCCGATCCTTGGTGGATGATCGTAAAGATGGCACAAGGCGCGCCATGCAATAGATGAACGAGTGGAAGCTCGCCAAGAGGCCGACGATTAACAGCCAAGAGAACCCCGATGTGACGCTGTTGTCGCCAAAGACGGTCTTGTATCCGTCCAAGAGCGGCGACACCGATGCAAAGATGGCCGCAGCCCCAGGCGCGATGGCCGTGTTGAAGAAGGACGTTGCAAATGCCAGGACAAGCAACGTAGCGATGGACGAAAGGAGACCTTTCGGCATGTTCACGTGCAGGTCGATCGTGTCTTCGATAGCAAGCGGCAGCTCTTCAATTCCAAGGAAGAACCACATTGCGAACGAGAACCCGTTGACAAGGCCAGGCGCGTTGTCTTTCCACTCCCAGTCCTGTTGCTTCACCCACAAGCCGTAGTCGACTTTAGAGATCGCGCCCATGTAAAACAAAAGGAGGATCTCGACTGACAGCACTGTCTTGGCGACCTAGACGCGGAACGACAGCGCCACACCGCTGAAGTTGAGCACGGTAAACAAGACGTAGAACATAACCCACCAGATTGGGCCCTTGCCTTCTACCTGGCGCAGGAGTTGGTTCATGTACGACCCGATGCCTATGGAAATCACCGCGACCGTCACCACCACCTTGAGCACTTCGGCCAGCCCAGCAAAGTATGCCGCGGTCGACCCCAACGCGCGGTGGGCAAATGCATATGGCCCACCACCACAAGGATTGGACGTCGACAGCTCGGTGATCGAGAACGACAGGAGTATGTACAGCGCCGACGCAATCACGAGGTTGACAACCAGGCCAAGAAACCCAGCCGACAGCGCGGTTTGCCACCCAAAAGAGTCGCCACTGATGACGGCGCCGACACCAAGGGCCCAGAGATGCGGTGCGCGGGCGATGCGATGGTCTTGTGCAGTGTCCGTCATGTTCGCGACGGCGGTCGAATTGCCGAATGCGTTGTCCTCTCTACGATCCTCCACAATGCATGCAAAAAATATGTTTCTTCACGGCCAATCAGATATCAACACGCCACCTCGTAACTAAATACGCGTCATGACAATATACCCCTGAAAAATAATTACGTGCAACTGTCTCCTAATGCGGGGGAAAACTGTTATATTAAAATTCCAGAAGTATGGTCGAGTACCACGGGGGAAGGATTTCCGTCGTTCCCTGCAGCCCGACGCGAGCCGTCCTGGGGGTCGTGCGCTTGCTCGTTCCGTGCTTGCCCCGAAGGTGAGACAGACTTATGTGATGCTACCGTCACCTTCAAGTGATTATACCAAGTATACATTATACACGACTCTCCCCTTCAGGTCTGCTTCGCATCTCTGAAACTATTCCTACTCGATTCCATTTATGCACGATATACTTCCTCCGTTCCAAAAAGGTGGAGACAGCTCATTTTGCCTGTTTTTAATTTTAATATTTGGATACTCGAAACATATCAAAACTGTGTTTTTATTCAATTTTGTACTTTCACGACAAAGGTAAACATGGTGTGATTCATTCTTAGGCGTCGGCTTCAGTGCCCATATCATCAACCATTGTGCAGAGTTTATCAAAATTGGACAAATTGATCGAACCCTTTAGCGAACACGTCGCAAGCACACTCGATAGGTTACCTTCTCTACGCTCAAAGTCTATTCGTCTATTCATGGCTTCGATGGCAGAAACTAATTCTGGGTCACATTCCAAGCGGGGGCTCACGGGTCAATGCCTGGCTAGGTTGTCCTGATGTTACTGGGGCAATTTGTACAAGTTGTCCACGTCCATCGTCAACGACTCCTCCATGATCTTTTGGAGGGTCATGAAGGTCTTGTCCAGCACACGAAAATCAAGCTCGTCGAATGCACATTGAACCGCCTCGATCAGCTCGTCAATGTCAGTGACAACCTGTCGGTGCTGCAGTGCTTGAATAGAGTTAAAAAACCCTAAGTCCAGAACATTGAAATCCGGGCATGGGGGGCTGACTAACCTGTTGGATCTGCCATCCGTCGGAACAACCCGCAGCGGCCACGGCACGAACGTCCACACCAACGTGTGGTCGAGCATTGTCCTGCTGAATGAAAATAGGCTTGTCACGACCGGGCCACAAACGCTAGATGTTCGGGATGACAAGCACCAACAGGAAGTCCCGATAGATTGGCTTGGTCACAGTAATTGGTGATGTGACAATAGTACCACGCACTCGATTCTTGCTTGTTCTTCGTGTAGGCATCTTGGTGACGAACGGCCACATCCCGATCTTGCCGTCCCATATCGTTTTCCTTGCGCTGTCGTACCGAGAGCGGGCCATCGCCGTTAGAAACATGGCCTTGACGATACGCCGTTTGAACGAACATTTGCGCACGAGTATGGGCTCGTCGTGCCAGAGGTAGTAGCGACGGTTGACCAACGTGACGTAAAACCATTTCTCGTCTATGTGGACGCAATCCAGCATGTCATGCCAGAGGCTGTTGTGTTCGAGCCTCGCGAAGAAAAAAACGAGCAAAAACAACGCGGGCAGCATTGTGTGCATCGGTAGCAAGGACTTAATACGACTGGTTCGTCGTTTCAGTTTATTGTACTTAAGAAGCCGCCAGAGAGTAGTTTTGTGGATGCCGCTGTCAGATGCTAACATCGCTAGAGACCTGCGCAAGTGAAGTGCGACGTTCTTGATTGCTGCCTCTAGTTCTGCCAACGTGCGTGCAGGCGGCCTGCCCGAACGTCCTTTCTTCCGGCGAGCAACGTTAGCAAGCCCCGAAACCCCGATTGCGGAGTGAATGTGTCCCGACAGAGCTTGAAACGGTGGGCAGTGCTTGTTCAACAAGCTGAGACAAACTGCGGCCGAATCAGTCACGCTGAGAAGCACCAGGAAATAAATTGCCTGAGTCGTGTTCCGAGTTGCAAGCAAGGTAAGCAGCCAAAGCGAGGATACAGCATGTCTCCGTTTTCAAAGGGTTCGCATAGTTGTGCTTTGGGTCACTCCGTTTTGTCCCGCCCTGGTCGGTTTTTGACTTGAATAATGTCACGCCGATGGAGTCTTCTTCGTCAGAAAGGTGATCAATGCGTAGTGTTGAAGTTGATTTTGAATGGCACATGAGGTTCCAGGTCACGTTAGGAAGAGGTGCGTGAAGCCGGCGTCAAGCTTCTTGCGATTTTGCTTGCAGAGTTCAACGTATTGGAGGTATCGGAGGGGCTGCTTTCCACAAGCCTTGATCGATCCGGCCTGGGCCTCGCTCGCGCACAGCCTGAGGATACCTATTTGAAGGACATGATTGCCTTCGTCACAACATATTCTCTCGCACCTTCAAAAATAGCAGTAACATCAGAGGCATATCCCGCAGGAAGAGGTACCTTGTGTCTTTCGTAGTAGTCCTTGATCGCCGAACGATAACCTGAAAGGGTTTGAAGTGAAACCTTGGCAATCTTGTACTTGTAAAGGACAAATTCGGTGAAGTTTGCGTAGTCAAAGATGACAAGGTTGATTGTGCCGTCGGTGTTCACCATGTGTGAGCGGCCGGACTCTCGAAGTCAAGCCACGATCTGGTTAACCCCACTGCGATAGCCCTTCTTCGAGCTCATAGCGAGGCGGTTGTCTCGCAGGTCCTGTACTGCTGGCGGGACGTGTTGGTTTCCGAAGGGTCATGTGTTGCATCTTCCATACTTGGGTCTTTGTTGCCAATCAATGGGTACAGGATTTCCGTCCGACGTTTTGTGTAAGTTGGACTTTTTAATCCTCGACTTGCATTTTGTATTGAAAATGCATCCAAATGATAAAAAAAGTCGGGCGCTTCGTCCGACGATTACTTATTTACATATGACCTTGTGTCACAAGATTTTTTCAACACAGAAATCCCCTGTGGGAACTGATGAAACTTTCACCGGGAAAGTTCACAAGAAATATCTTGTAGCAAAATCAACCTAATGAGAGTTAAACGCTTCAAATGACTTCATGGCCTTTTCAACTCTCTCGCGTTCCTCCCGATCTTTCATCGTGACGGCGAACGAAAGTACGCGAATGTTCATCCAGCATCTTCAGACCGGTGTCTGTCGGCGCACAACTCGAGCTCTACGTTGAATCGAGCGAATAGGGCAATATAGTATGGTGCGGTTCGTGTTGACAGCGATGGTGACTATTATCTCTACAGGCGGCGCTGTAGGATGGCCTTGGATCGCCCCAGCAACTTTCATTTCATTGTGATCAAAGCAGAGTTGCAGTTGTCTTTGGCGAAATGTTCGCTCCACACCTCTCGAGATCGTCGAAAATTCGTTTGGCCCAAGCTTGGTTACTTTTGAGCAAAGTGATGAAGACGACTCGTACGGGTAAAAGCCATCATCGTTGGTCTACTCCAAACCGCACCATACTCTATGCCCTCTCCCGAGAGTTTCCACCAGCCTTTCGTAACATTCGCTCCACAGCCAACGAGGCCGACAGCTACATCAAAGCAAACATGGATTCATCAATGGGGGCGGGAACAGGGGGGAGTTGGGGCTTCGGTCTCTCCATTCTAACGGAACTCATTGATACGGCGATCGATCGCTGCAAGAAATATCTTACACAGGCGCGGCAACTTGCTCATCATGTGGTTGGTGGTCGGGAAAATGGTCCACATGGAGACTGTTGAACCACTTGTCACGCAGCGCTTGCATGTCTCGGTCAATGTGCTCGAGGTCGTGTTTGTATTCTCGAACTTGGGCCTTGTACATCTCGAGCTCGTTCTCCATGCCTACGACTGCGCGTGAGGACGCGAAATTGACGGCAGCGAGACCTTTCATTTGCGCCTGCTTCTTCTTGAGGTTTTCTTGATACACGACGAGCTGCTCAGCCACTTCGGGTCCGGGCTGCCGCGCCAAGACGTTCTTGAGCTCGACGTACAGCTTTTCCTTTTCCACAATCAGCAAATCTAACCATGGCACGATCAGCAGCAGCAGCAGCAGCACCGGCGACGCGAACCACCTTTCATGCACGCTTCTTCGCACTTTTTGATCGTTTTCTTCTGCAGCGCATGAATCTTTCGAATCTAGTCGAGTTGTGTCAGCACGGCGTCCCTCGACTTCGCCGCACCATGTCGAGTCGTTTTGGATCGCTGCCTTCCAACTTGCGCCACCGATGGACGTTGAGGGGGTGGTCCAGCTCCTACCCACATTCCGCTCGTCGGCCATCCTCGCGTCGACGATGGTCGTCGCGCACCTCCGACAGCGCCTTGATCTTCGTTCGCTCTTGGAGCAGGTCTCCCTCCAAACGTAGCAGCTCGGCCTTCAGGTCCCTATCCACCACCATCTTCCCGTCACAGTGGCTGGATTCGATACGAACCCCGTGCACGCAATTTGGTTTTGCGTCTTCTTGAACTCGTCCACAAGATCCTGAACCCTCTTCTCCAACTGGTCGACCTCCTTGACGCGCTCCTCGTACTGCACTTGACCGATGCTCAATGTCGACTTTTGGATCTTGATCTTTTCGTAAAGCGCTTTCAGCTCCTCGCTACGTCCGGCCGTCAGGCCACAGGACTCTGTGAACGCGGATCGCATACTTGCGAAGGATCCACTGTGCCCGCAGGTTGTCTCGATCGTTGACGACTGCGTTGAATTCCTTCACCTGGCGCTGCTTCTCATCGTCCGCCTCTTGAATGATCGACGCGAGTTTCGAGATTTCTTGCTCCTACACATGTCGCCTCAATCGTCCGTTCGCTTGGTGCTGCCTACTTGGTTGGCGATGATCTGTTCGGAGCTCTGGATCTGCTTCTTGATCCGCGTCAGTTCGGCTTTGAGTGTTTCTTTCTCCTACGCGCCGTCGTGAGGACCGATCCAAGCGCCGACGCCAACCTTGTCGACTTTGTGGTGGTCAAAGTGCTCCTTCACGAGGCAATGGTCCTTGGTCGTAATCTCTTCCTTGAGCTGCTCGATTTGGTGGTTCATGATCTTGAACTTGCGCTTCATGTCGGCAATCTCTTCTTGCGACTCAATCAAGCTCTTGCTGTACAGGTTGCGGTCGCTGCGAACGGCCTCGTACAAGTTTTGTTGTTGCTTGAGCCGGGTTTCTCCTTCCGCGATTTTGTCTTGCAGCGACGTCACCTGCTCCATTCGTTGGCGCAGTCGCAGCAACGAGGGAGGACGTACTTGGAGGTCCTGAAGCTTGGCTTCCTCGACTGCTGCGCGATACTTTCGATGGGCCACCTCGGCCTCCTTGTCGTACCGATCCCGCTCCGACACGAGCTGCTGGACCATGTCCCTGTGACGTCGTCAGTGGTCACGCTGCACCAACTCTGTACCGCTGCTGTTTGACGCTTTGGCGGTATCCATTGATTTCGTTTTCCAGGTTCTTTGTCGTGTTTTCTTGGATTTTGGTCAAGTCGTGGGTCCCCTGGGCGGTGTCGGCCGCGCGCACGAGCATTTTGTTGACCTGGGGACAGGCACGTCAGAGAGGCCACGGGATCACCACGTCCAACCAGCTCACGCTGACGCAACAAATCGTCGAGGGTCTTCCTCATCGCTTCGCCATGCTTTCGCTCGACTTCGATCGTGACGTTGACCAGTTCGTTTAACGCGACCTTGTACTCGTCCTTCGTGGCATCGATCTTGTCTGGACGACCGTGTCAAGGCAAAGTGGACTGGCGCGTGTACTACCTTTGGCTTGGTTGACTTGACCGATCTTTTCCTTGGTAAGACCCACGAGTTGCTCGATCTTGGCGCAGTCCTTCTCGATCTTGGCCACGATCTCTTCCTTCGCCCGAATCTCCGCTTCCGTTTGGGTGTTTTCTTTCTGCAACTCGACATTTCTACGGCCCTCCCATCACTCGACGGCCAGACATGGCCGCGTACTTTTGCCATTGGGTTTCCATTGCTTCTGTGAACTGATGGGTCGTTCGAAACAGAACGTCGTATTGCTTGAGGTACTTTTCCATGCGCGTCTTGGCTTCCCGCAGCGTCGCTTCTTTCTGCGTCGTCCTGTCAGCCATGTGTACAAAGGAATCAGCGGTCGCACCTGCTTCAACATGGCGTCGCCGACCTTAACCGCCTCCGCCTTGCGTTTCCACTCCGCGTTCAACGTCTCCGCTTCGTGTTTGAGGGTTTTGAGCGACTTTTCCAGCATCACTTTGCGTCGGGTCTCCTTGTCCGCCATCGACCGCTTCTCCTGGACCTCGTTCGACACGTTTGCGAGCTCCTCCTCGAGTCTGCCATGTCTCCTTGTGAAGCACGCAGAACGCAAATTTGTACCTGAGCTGCTCGTCTTCGGCCTCAGTGACCAGCGCTTGCAGCGACGCCACCTCCATTCGAATCTGCGCCAAGTCGTTCGTCTTGGTCTCGACTTCCCTGGCGCTGTCCGCGCGCTGCCGCTTGAGTTTCGCCATCATTTCCTCCTGCGCTTCGCTCCACCCCGACCCGTTCTTGAGCTGCTCCTCCAGCATCGCAATGTTGGTCCGGAGTTCGTTCAGCTTGGCCTGTTTCTCCGTCTCGAGCTTGTGCGAGTTGGCCACTTGGCTCCACATGACTTCGATGTCGACCTGCACCTTCTTCTTGTAGTTGTACGCCTCCATCTCCTCCTCCTTTTCTCGCGCATACTTGTCTTGGTTCGTTCCTATCTCCCCGATGATCTCGCGTGTCCGACGGAGTAGCCGCTGCTCGCTCTCTTGCGACTTGACCAGGGCATTCAGCATCTTCTCCACTTCCTGGCGGAACAGTCCCATTTCCTCCGGGATTGTCGGCAAGAATGCTGCCATCTCGGCGCAATAACGACTCGCGGCCTCGCCAGCCGCCTCGTCGCTCATGCTGCTGCCCAGGGCGCCTTCAACGATCGGTTACACGACCGTTGCGACTGCTACCGTTTCCATTCTGGTCGATCGTGTGGCCATGTGGAGCTGCGTCACTTGCAGCGCCTCCAACGAGGCACCTGCTTTGACATGCACGCGATGCGGCAACCACCGGAGTGGGACACAAGATGCAGCACTTCCAAACACGTCGTTCCATGGAGCTCTGCAGCCACACGACGTGAGCGCGACCCGCGCGTTGCTGTTGGAAGTCGTGAAGGCTGGCGATGTCGCAGCGTTGAGCACGCTCGTTGCCACTGTGTCAGCGTTTCCTCTGGTCCAGCCGTGGGACAAGGAGGGCACCGCGCTCGCAGTCGCCAGTCGGCACAACCACCTGCCTATGGTCTGGTACCTCGTTCGCACGATCGGGATGTCGCTGGCATCGAAAGTGAACGCATCCAACGACACTGCGCTACACGTGGCGTCCAGGGCGGGCCACTTGGAACTCGTGGGCGCGATCGCCCCATTCGTGGACGTGACAGCCACGAACTTCGACGGGAGAACGGCCACGGCCGAGGCTTGTGCAAACGACCAGGTAACCCCGTCCCCGCCGATGATGTCGCTCACTTGACCTGTAGGTGGCCATTGTGGAGTACTTGATCGATACGTTTCCGTCGTCCCATCTCGACTGGATGGACTTGATGTACGTGGCGGTCAATGCTCAAGCACTGCAAGTGCTTGCGTGGTTGCTGTCCCGTGCACCCGTCCAGATGCGAGACAGCAACTCGTTGTGGCAACGAGCTATCGATCTGAAGGATGAGAAGGTGTGTGTGCTGCTGCTCGAGCATGGACTCAGCTTGTCAGGGCTCGACGACGACAGACTTAGCTTCGTCCGAGGCCTTCGTCGTTCCAGTGCTGTTTCATCACAGCCCAACCCCCCTGTCGATACAACGAACAGTCCATTATTCACCGTGGGTGAGCGCATGCAACTGGCGTCAGCGGCGCCGCAACCCCCAAGCACAAACTCCAATAGTCCACCACGGACCACTGCCATCTCGCCGCTGCCGCCTCTGCGCCAAAGTCAATCTTCCACCGCCCAACAGAAGGACCAGTACGCAATCGGTCAGCACACGGACTGGGGCACCGTGTTGAAGCAGCACGTCGCCCGCGCCGACATGGACGCCGCCAAGAACTTTCACAAGGACCTGTTGCGACTCCAGAGATCAAACGGCAGTCGCACCCATGCTCTCGTGCGGTACGTTGGTACCGACGCGAGCGACGCCACTCTTTTGTTTGAACCGCCCGGCATTCCCCTCTCTCGCGCCCAAGATTCGCCCGTCCCCGACTTGTTTGCCAAATGCACTGGCAAGTCCTGGAGCGAAGGGAAGTACCTGTATGACATTGCCCAGGCCGTGGCATACCTGCACGAAAATGGCCGACCCCACGGCGCCATTTGTCCTGCAAACTGCTTTGTCGACCCCAAGAGCGGCAGTGGGAAACTTCTGGTTGTCTTCCAAGGGTCGACGCCGACTGCGCTCACGGCACCGGAGGCGCAGCACGGCAGCACGGTGGACCCTTTCGCCGCGGATGTCTACAGCCTTGGACGTGTGTTGATGTCCCAGCCAGGGCTGACGCAGGAAGCGTTGGACTTGGCGAACTGGATGACAACACCGCAACCGACCCACCGTCCCAAGATGGCCGACGTCGTCGCACACCCAGTGTGGTGGACTCTCAAGACCAAGCTCCAGTACATTCAAGCGATTGCGTCGTACAGCGCCGACCACCCCCGCGTCGCTCGGTGCAAGAACCTGCGGTGCCCCAACTGGCAGACCAAGTTGCCTCCCGTGGTGCTGGCGGGGACCAACCAGCATCGAACGTACAACCACACGGTGTATGCGCTGGTGCGATACATTCGCAACTTTAAGGAGCACGGCCGGGACCATTCCCCAGACATGTGGCAGGCTCTTCACGACGCTCTCGGTGCTGCGACACCCGTTGCGGACGTGTCGGACCTCGAGTTTCAAGAACAGTGCCTGGGAGGATTTGTCGCGCAAGCGTTTCCAACGCTCGTCCTGGACCTCTGGCGCGCCTTGGGAAACTTGGATGCACCAGCGTAGACTTCGTATCCATGGTGTAAAGATTCATCGATTCTATCGAGTTCGCCAACACTTGCCAAGGAAAAGAGTGTTCGCCGCCGTGGGCACTGCCGGGAATGGCCATCACAGCATGAATACTACTCTCCAGACTTGCCACGATTCCCGTGAATGGAGTAGAAGCAATACACCTGCTTCGCTAGCATCGACTTTGAATTGTCTGTGTCGCTACGATCCAGCGAGCCGCCGACCTTGTTCCCCACAGGCTACACCATCGCCCCCATCGTTTCAGAGACCAGAGTCCCATGTCGTTGGATGCGTCTCGAACACCACTGCTACTGCGTGCATTGGAGCGGGAGCCTCCAAATGGCGTAGTAGACTCAATGTTTAGTCATCGCCTCTCGCTACGCTAGGCCAACGGCGTGCGCTCTCGACTTTGCATGATCGAAACACCGAACGACTTACTCGACATCGTAGAGCCCAGAGCTGGTGTGGGTAGCTCCCTTGAACGTGTCGTCGGCACTTGGAGTGGGAAACCGCACGGCATGCACTGGCACTGGCACGTCGCGCCATTGCTTCTCCAGGATCTCGACGATGGTTTTGGCAGACGGCCGTTCGATTGGGTTGAACGCCAAGCAGCTGTCGACAAGCTCCTTGAACCAAAGCGGACTCGAGGAGCTGATGGACGGTCGGATCACTCCTTTGCGGATGCTGTCCGTGAGCGCCCATGGATCGAGCGACAGGTCCCAGTACGGCCGCTGCAACGTGTCGAGCTCAGTGAGAATGACCCCGAACGCGTACACGTCAGCTGCTGGAGACGTAGATTCCCCCAAGAGGATTTCCGGCGCAGTCCACAGCAGCTCCGCCATCGACATGTTCATGAGTCGCGTGTGCGCGCCGCCAAGATGCGCCACCTTCACGTGCTCGGTGGTGGACAGCAAGACGTGCTCCGACCTGAGGTCCCGGTGCACGAGGCCCTTTTCATGCAAGTCGAGGAGGGCATTCGCAAGAACCCATGCCACGTGGGGAGTCGTGAAGCCGGAAGTCGTGCAAGTCCCAGCCAGCTTCGTGTCCAAGTGTTGGCGAAGGTTGCCTTGGTCCATAAAGTCGACAACCAGGTGGGGGCGGTCAGCTTCGTCGGTCTTGCCGACAAGAGAAATCACGTAGGGGGAGTTGCCCCTACAATTGTCTCTCGCTTGTCAGTGTTGTGGCGGTGGCGCGATGGACTCACGAGGAAATGGCGTCCGCTTCGGCAAGAAGGGCGGGCGTGTCTTGGCGAGTCAAAGCCGACTTGATCGCAACGTCTTTGCCGCGATAGACTGCTCTTTCGACGACGAACTTGACACCGCCAAAGCCCAGTTTCTCCACCACGCGAATCGCCGACGGGTCGATCTACCGCACATCCGTGGAGTTGTTTGAAGACGAGACTCCCATACCGTGACGGGAGGTTGCGCCACGAAGGCATGCAAAATCGTGGCTTCATCTCGACGAAAGTACTTCATCGCCACAACAAGCGCAGTCTCGCCGTCCTAGCATCGAGCGAGTTAGTACTCTGGTCCATACCGCTCCGCGCCGAACCGCATTCCGTCTTGTTACGTCAGCTCGGGCATCGAGGAGCCTCTGAACGATGCGGCTGTGGCCGTGCTGGACGGCAAGCAACAACGGGGTGTTTTGATTCTTCAACACGTCATGAGGACATGATCCAGGCACGCTGTCATGTACCGAGTCGGTCGAGTTGATGTTGACGCCGTCTTGGAGCAGCATATCCACAATCGTGACGTCCCCATTCGACGCGGCAATCGTCAGCGCCGTGCCGCCACACTACCGCCAGCCACAAGTCATGAGTAGTCTCGGAACAAGTGCGGTACCCCGTTTGCCTTGTTGCCGTCGGCCTTGGCAATGAGGAGCATCCCAACCACCGATTCACGTCTCAAGAGCGCAGCAAGACACAACGGGAGAGTGCCGTCCTGGACAGATGTCAAACACAGACACCACAGGCGCCCAACCGTACAGGTCCAGCGTGGTTCACGTCGGCCTGCGCCTTGATCAGCCGCACAATCGTCGAAATGTCGTTGGCCTCGATCGCTTCCAGAAGGCTGCTTTGATGGGCCTACCCACAGCCTGTGAGATGAATGCCTCGTGCAAGAAGCAGCTCCTACCAGCGTCGTTCCGTGGTCGATCGGGGCTACCGAAGCCTACGAACCACACAAACCATGTGATTGGAAGAGTGGCATGGGATGGGTGGACCTCCGCAGGGGCTACCGAAGCAGCAGTCACGAGCAATGCCGCGATGGTTGCATGTTGTTTCTGGAGGGCCGCTTCGAGAGGCGATTTCCCATCCTACCCTCACACAGATGAAAATGGATGCACAAGCCGTCGTTCATCCGTACCGACGTGCAAAGAGTCGCATCCGCTTGGTACTGCAGCAGCAGACGGACCAACTCCTCGTTGCCACTGGACACGGCAATGTAGAGCGACGTCAATTGGGGCTACGAATTGGTCAAGTCAAAAACGAATGGCTCACAAACCCCTGTGATCCTGGCATTCGGGTCGGCGTTCTCTCGCAGCAGCACCTGCGCCACTTGAACGTGTTGGCCGACAACAGCAGCAAGGAGCGGTGTCCATCCGTTCTATGTTACGCTGTCAAGGAGGGGCCAGCTCTCCCAGACGCACGGTATCAGCTTGGTTCACGTTGGCGTTGTATTTGATGAGAAACTTGACGACATCGACGTGTCCGTTCTTGGAAGCCATGAAGAGCGGCGTCCGGCCATCCTAGACCGACACTTCATGTCGCGGTCGCGAAGACGAAGTTCGTACGTCCGAAGGTGCGTTCACATCGGCTCCCGAGCTCAGCAGCGAGCTCACTTGACCAATGTCTCCTTCTTCAGCGTAGTGGAGGAGCTATCCCAGAGTCGAGATCAAGACATCTCAAGCCGCCCATACACGCACCGCTTGCATGATCCAAATCGAATGTGGCATCCCGTACGTATTCATATCCGCGATGAAACGATGTTGGACTAAAAATACGACGAAACTACTGCCACAAGTGGGTCGAAGGCCCAAACGGAAACATGTCTGGGACCAACGACGACAGAGAGAGGCTCCTGGCGATGTACCGGCAGGCAGCGTCTGCGGCACCGGCAGGTTCAACCCCGGATACTGTGTTCCAGCTTCAGCAAATGTTGGCGGCTCGAACGACGGCGCCACCTGTGAGCCAAGGTGCGATGGCAATGTATCCCCACGTCATTGCTGATCCTGCGATAGCTGCGCCAGTCCAAGCACCCTGGCCTCCACAGCCCGCCATGCACGCGAGCGACCTGGAGATCCAACGGCTGCAGGCGCAAATCGCGCAGCTTCAAGCGAATCAGAGAGCTCAAGTCATTTCCCAAATGCTGGCCAGTCCTCCTGTCGCCCAATCGCCCACGCAACCCAGCTTGGACCTTCTCCGTGCGTTGTCAAGTCTTCAGCAAGCTCAAAGCCTTGTGCCAGCTCAGCCGTTGAGTGTCGAAGCTCAGCTAGCACAAATACTGGCACCCCAGCCCCCAGCCCAGCCTCAAGCCCAGCCCAACATGGAGGCACTTCTGGCACTTTTGGCAAGACAACAGACGCCAGGTGGTGTTCAGGCCGCACCTAGTGTGCAAGAGCAGCTGGCCTTGCTCCTCGCATCGCAAGCACCGACGCAACCCGTGGCCACTTCTCCGCCCAAACCCGAGCGATCTCCGAATCGAGTGTGCGTCCATTTCCTGTCCAACCACGGCTGCCGCAACGGCGACGCGTGCACGTTTCGACACGAAAAGCCCAATGGATCTCCATCGAATCCGTCGCCACCGTCAAAGGCCACGCTTCCCAAGAAACAAGTCAAACCGTTCGGAGGCAAGCCGAAAGACCCCATCATCTGCCCCTACTTTAACGCTCCTGGAGGGTGCAATTTCAAGGACAAGTGCAAGATGCTGCACGTAGTCGACGCCAAGGCCCAAGCCATTCGCGACGGTGAAATCGCCGCGTTTGCTGCGGCGCAGTCCAACCTCCGAGAGAATTTGAACAAGATTCGAGACGACATGAAGGCCAAGTACGACCAAGCAAACCGGTTGGATCTTGTCATTGTGATGGACTGCACCAGTTCGATGGGCCCGTGGATCAAGGCGGCCAAGGACGCAGTGACCACCATCATCACCAACATCCAGACCGACCACCCGAATGCAACTGTTCGCGTCGGGTTTGTCGGGTATCGCGACTACTCGTCGTACAGCTCTGCCCCGCTCCGAATCGAGACGATCTCACTGACGCCAAACACGGACGACGTTCACGCTTTCATCTCGCAGCTGACGGCGGGAGGCGGCCGTGGCAACTTTGCCGACATTCCAGGAGGCCTCGAGGTGGCTCTGGACATGCCTTGGGAGTGCGACGCAAAGGTGATTCTCCTCGTGGGAGATGCTCCTTGCCACGGAAAACTGTACCACGACAATTACCGTGGAGAGATGCACCCGTCGACGCCATGCATTCAAGAGCAAATGCGTACGATTGCCCGTCGCGGAATCGACTTTCGCATTATCGAGATTGCCCCCGAGAACACGGCGAAAATGGTCGCGATCCTGCAGGCCGAGTACATGTCAACGATGGCGAGCGATGGCCTCGAACGGTCGTTCGCGTCCGTGTCGCTGTCTGCCTCGGGCGACGTCGTCAAGTTTGGAGACATCGTCAAGAAGATCAGCAGTGATTCACTGCAGGCAAGCAAGTCGCGCAGTGTCATTTCGAGCGCCCGCAAGACGGTGGGGACGAAAAGCTCGGGCATACCCAGTCTCGTTCAGATTGGGGAAGACGACGACGAGGATGCAGATAGCGACTACGACAACTCGGCGGCGCCAAGCGGAGGGGCCGAGTGGGCTCCGCCGACAACGCTGACGCCCCTCAACTGGGCGGATGTCGCGGCGTGTCCGGAGATTGCCGCAGTCCGATACTGCGTTATGATTCGACTCGAATGCAACAACTTGGCAAAGCCCGTGACCATCACCACAAAACAAGCGACCAAAATCAAGCTGCTCACGACGCCGTTTGCGAAAGGAGCGATGCGCACTGCGCATGGGATGCAGGATACGACGTTGGGGCTGGACCTGATCGCCAAGTTTTACTTTGGAACGGCGGCAACGATGGACCACCACGTTCGGGAAGACGTCGAGATGCATGCGATCGCCAAGCGGTTGGCCACCGAGTTTTCCAAATCTCCATGTGTCGAGAATGGCGTGGATTTCATCTCGACGTGCTGGTACGAAGTCGCGGGCCGACCCCTCTTTACTGCCGAGCCACACATTCCAGGCGACTACAAAAAGTACAACAACAACAGTGGCTGGGTCGGAGACGCCATGGCGGACGACCAAGTCGTGACAGCTCAAGCGTTCTCGCACTTTTCGTTTGAACAGTCCAAGGGACAGCTCATGGTGGTGGACCTGCAAGGCGTCGGCTCGATCTTCACGGACCCCCAGATCCACTCGTTGAATGCAGCCAAGTACGGCCATGGCAACCTGGGCGAAGCCGGCATGGCGACCTTCTTTGCCACGCATCGATGCAACCGCATCTGCAACGCCCTCCGACTGACTCCGTACGACGGCACCGAGTTGCCGCCAGAGCCACCAACAGGAACGAATGTCGCACCTGACAAGATCATGACGTGCAGCTGTGGCATCTGCGGCGGCATCTTCACCATGTTCCATTCGGGCTTCATCGAGGAAGTCAAGAATTACACGGATGTGAGCTGTCCTCCATGCAAGGTGCA